TCAGTTTGTGTGTGTGCACCTGAAGGATCTGAGGCTCACGGCTCACCAAAACGTCTCACGTACTGTCGTACCGTAGGTCCAAAATGCCCCCAGGGATCCTATTTCCCCCAGGGATCCGTTTTCGTACCGAACCTCAGGTACGGTGAGGAAGGAGAGACTGTTATTGGCCGGTGCCGTCGGGTCCAGCCGTACCTGAGAAGGTACCACTGATCCTGAAGGAATGCAAATATGCCTTATCATGTTTGATGTTTTTTTTTGCAATACATGTTTATCGTACCATTACCCAGACACTCTGCATGTATGGAATATATGCCTACATTGACCCCCCAAATCACCCCAATTTATGCATATATGGCACGCATGGAGCGTTTGGGTTATGATTGTAGAATTGTCGATTGCCAAATTTGAAATACTTTAAGATTGATTGTGTTGCAGTTGCCGAATTCACGTCGTCCTTCATACCTGCTGAGTGAGGACGAAACATTCCTAAGGATCTAACTGACGGTGGTTGCTTGCTCTAGTTTTTTTCCAATTTTATCAATCCTGGACAGCTGATTATTCAGATTCAACAATTCTCTAGCCTTATATAAATAAAAGACCCATACGAATTATATCAAATGATTAAAGAAAGGTTGACCTGGTTTCGAAGTCAAAATTCCCTAGAACAACAAGGGGTTCTTAGGCAAAACACCCATCAATCAATAAGGCTTTTGGACTCCTACGTGCCTGCTGTTCTCAGCAGTGGTCCTCTATGTAGCCCCCCCCTTCCCACCAAACGCTGCCAGCCCTACCGGGGTGCTTCCATTTGAGACCTCGGTCTCTTTTTCTCTCCGGCTCCTGGCCTCGATGGTCGGTGTCGCGGTCGGATCAGGTGGACTTCGAAAGTTCCTTGACCTCGGAACTGGGTCGCTTGCAGACCAGCACCTTCAGCACCTTCGGAGGTGGACATATGGGCGAAATTCGGACGGTCATGAAGGATGATGGAGGCTGTATGAGGTAAGTGGTAAGCGGTGTGGTTCAACTGAAGTGAAGGTTGTTAGACAAACTTACTTGCAGCACCTGCCTGCAAGATAGGTGACTTTGTTCGTCTGAAGGGGAGAGGGGACGGGATGAGAGATAAAATCTCTCAAGAAGTAGCTGGAAGTTTGGCAGAAATATAGAAGTGCCTTATTGCCGTATCGGGCCCATTGGTTCAAACAGGTGGCTTGTATCAGGCAATACGCCAGTCGTTTTCTACACCAGGCCTGGACTCGTTCCATCCACCTGCTAGGACTGCATAGCCTCGCCTGCCCTGGACTCGTTGGGCCCCCAATTTGGAAGATCTCAGTAGCTGAACATCGCGAAGTTTTGGTCGTTGTTGGGCTCCACTGAGGGGTGGCATATATATGCCATGGTCTGAGGTCACGAGGTGTGGCATATGTGGCAGTTTGACAACACCTTCAATACTTGAAGATGCCCTCATCAAAAAACTTGGATAGAAGTTAGAAGAAGAACAACATCATTGGGCAGTGCACTTCAGCGTATTGACGTCAAAGACCTAAACCAGGACCCTCCAACAGGTCACCACCTGCGACTTTGAAGTCATCGGAGACCCATACCCACACAGCATCGTCTCCTAAATTGCACGAAAGTACATGTAATTACACCGCTTCGGCCTGTTTTGGGACTGTCACATGTTGGTTGACCTGGGGTGAATGGGACTTGCATATCTTCCCCTACAAGTCCAGTTTGACCCGGTAAAACCCGGTCTTTCACCTCCTTGGTCTCGTAGGGAATGTGTGACCGGAGTCCAGGTATTTCAGGGATCGGTCAGTTGACCTGTGTAGGGTTCCAGGCATTTTTCGTGTCCGGGGGACCACCCGACTCCGAACCGCTGCAGGAGCTCCGGTGGATCTCGCCTCCAAGGCGAGTCTGAAGGGTGGAACTCCCCGCGAGCAAGTCTTAAGGGTGCTGGGAGAAAACGCCAGCGACCGGACCTTTGCATGGTGGTTTTGGGTTTTGGTTTTCTCTCCCTTCTGGGATCCAGTCGTACCTTGTCAGAAGGGAGACGATTTTGGTCGGTGCCTGGGTCCGGCCCAGTCGTACCGAACCTGAGAAGGTATGTGGATCCCCAGGGTTTGCAGGTTTCTTTTTGGTTGTTTTCGGGATTTGAGTGCTTAGGGATGTTGAACATGATGTTCCACATGCGGTCGGTCTTTCCCTCTTCTATAGGGAATATTAAAGGAGTATTTCCGGTATTTTCCGGTATTTGTTGTATTCCCTAGGGCTCCAGTCGGACCTTCTTAGAAGGTGGGACTGGGGTGGGTGCCAGGAGGGTCCAAATACCTTCTAAGGAGGTACGACTGGAGCCCTAGGGGTAAGATGTTTTCCCGGCTTTTCGGACAGCAAATTTTCCTAGTTGTTCTGGTAGGGCCGCGGGAATAGATTCTTGGGCGTTCAAATCAACATGAGGTTCAGGATGGTTCAAAGTAGATGGCCGAAACCAAGCGCCAGACCTGATGAAAGGCGAGTGAAAAAGCGCTCATGTCTTCATGGTTCCATGTTGGCAACCTGAGAAATCCTCACACCTGATGATCAATCTAATTATTCCTTGCCAGTCATTTTGTGGAGACTTTATCTCTTGCCATTTGACATCATGTCTCCATATATAATGCCCGGCAAGTGATCCCAACCATCGTTCACGGGGGATATTGTGTCATCTACATGGTGCTCCTCAATCTACATGTGTATTCCTCTGTCGGCGGCTATACTCAGAATAGCCTTTGGAAGGCTAGGGTGGTGTTATTCAGTCCGAAATGCTGTTATTCGGTCGTGTGAACAGAAGCTGTTGGTAACTGGACTTCCGTCCCGCCAGCCCTACTGTCTACAGACCCTATACAGAACAAGACACATGGACCTGCAAACATTCCAGAAAACATGGCCAAAATGGAACTCTCACCACGGAAGTCCGAGATGAAGGCAGGTGGCAGATGCGGAGGAACTAGCACCCCAACACCCACCCGTAGAGGTCGAGGTCGTCGGCCGTTTGCGGGATGTTCCACGTCACTGGACGTTAAGGACCAAAGGACCACGCGGCCCAGACCGTCAGACGTTCCGAAGCTCTGAAAGCCACGGGTTGGGAACCGTATAGTCCCCTCCCATAGGGTCCAGGTACCTCCTGAGGATGGCCTTGGAGGTGAAAGTACTTCCTGAGAATGGTCTTGGGGGGTCAAAGGACATCCTCAGGATAGTCCTGGACCCTTAGGGCCTGGGATCCAGTCATACCGTACCTGAGGTTCGGTACGGCTGGACCCGACCCTGTCAACATAACAGTGTGTCCTTCAAAAACCGTACCTGAGGTTCGGTACGAAAACTGATCCTTAGGGAGTTTCAAGAAACACAAAAAATTACACGCATCACGCCAACGCTTCCGCGTTGGACTGGACTGTCCGGACCGGCACAGGCCTCCTGTTTCATGGCCACCTCCGTGTTGGAACGGGAGAGGTGCAGAGTGTGATGTCACACTCCAGCTGTGTTTCTTTCTGACAGGGCCGAGACCTGTGAGACCTGTGAGACCATGGTATTCCCTAGGGCTCCAAGTACCTTCTTAGAAGGTGTTTGGGGTGGGTTTAGAGGGTCCAAATACCTTCTAAGGAGGTACGACTGGAGCCCTAGGGATTATGTTCCTCCATGTTTCGCACACGGATCCTTTGGCCCCGTTCGGTTCTCGCGACGAGGTCGGTCACCTGGCTGGTTGGGGGATCTCCCGGAACCCAGAATGCCCATGTGGGACGAGTAGTAAGGAACTAGCACGACACCAGCGACATCGTGGGAACAGTTTGGAGCATCTTGGGCTATCCAGATGGGAATGTCATGCCGTCCCCAGACTCAACAGCCCTGGCTCCCTCAAAAACCTATAGGAATTGTTTCGGCCCCAGACCCCTGACCCAAGGATTCGGGGGATTCGGGTCACCGTCGGGTCGCTGGTGGTTGGAAGGCAAGCCCGGTGACGTCGCGGGTTGGGGGAGGGCTGGGCGGCTTGGGGGAGCCCAACGTGTGGCCGCCGTTCGGGTTGTCAAGTAGTTACCCTATAGAAGTCCAAAGACTATGAAATTCATAGGCTGAATCCCGAACCTTCAAGGATTTTACACTACAAAAAACCTGATTCAACCATTGTTTTATTGGTCTTGGAAGTCTAGGGGTCACACAGCCGCACACTTGAAGCCGTACAGGCAGGGCAGACCCGGAATCGAACGTTCACGCCAGGAAGACACCTCCTGAACTTCAACTTCAAGAATATTTTGAGTTGATGAGCTCGTTGCCCATGGAGACCCGCCTCAAGCTCTCGCCCTATTCGGTTCAGCTGAGCAAAACAAAGTAGTGCCGGAGAGATGTCGCAAGCAGCGCGGCTGTTCGCTGTGATCTTGTGCTGGTGATCAGTTTGAACGTTGAATTGCCACAGGGACGGCTGAAGAGACATCGAGCAGATACATGTTTGGCACTAGAACTTGAGCAATGGCCTGGGTGTGTTCAGATTTAGATATCTACTTCAATCATGTTCAATCTACCACTGGGGGTCATCGAGGTCATGTCTCAAATCTCGACAACCTTGCCATCCTCCGCATCCGCCACCAAGCCGCAGCTTCTTGTTTCACCCACGTGCCTCGCAGAAATCGCCGGGGGGAAAAAGGCATTGTGGTGCTGCTTGCCGGTGGTCTTGGGTCCTCAGAACTCTATCAGCAGTGCCTGCCGTCCTGCCGTTTTCTCTTGCACCATAGGCTTGACCACTGGTGGTCCCAATTCAACAAGCTCAGGCTGGAAGTTTTGAGGATGCATCATGACAAGAACCTGCATTGCCTCATCATTATCTCTATATGTACTATATGATACCTGCATGGGTATTTGGAGTATCCAGAGGTTGGATCCATCCGTGGATAATGTTTGTGAGATCCCCTCCCCAGTGGGGTGTAGAAAGTGAGGTCTGGTTTTACTTAAAGTGATCGCAGTGTTATTTTCCTTATGGTCAATCATGTCAAATCCCCTTTCTGGTAAATTTGTATATATTGTTTTTTGTCCATGTTCTTTAAGCAAATCCTTCAGGAGACCGTGAGTGAGTTCACCCGCGGGCTCAAGCGCATCGATTTCGCCTCGGCCGGCGTAAGGCGGCGCACGTAAGGCGGCGATCCTGCCCGCCGCCCTTGTCGATCCTGCCCGCCATGGCGCATGAGGCACTGGAAGAAGGAAGTGAATTCCTTTTGGACTGGCAGAAGTTGCTTGGTGGGACCGAGTATAGCGGAATCTCTTGAGACTGATCAGTGGCTTTCTGACTGAGCTGAGCTCCCCACCCCGGTCGTCTCGGAGTTTTTGGATTCCAGGGTCGACGGTCGACACGTTCTGTGTTGGTTGGATCACTTTGAGGCACTGCAACAAGAGGAATATATTGGGCACATGTGTTACTTTCTATTGGCACCAGTAGAAACCCATCTCGAAACCTCAACCGTAAATGTTTCAGTAGCAGATCCTTTCCACTCCAAGGCTTCCATCAAAAGGCTGGGTCTTCTTCAGAATGATGCATTCTTGGGGACATGTTTTTCTTCTTCGAGACATCACAGAATCCGGTAGACCAATTGGTTGGACCCAACATCTTCCAGCTGCGGGCGGCTGTCGGCCACCGTGTGGGACGGCTGGTGACGCGGCTGGGAAAACGAGTAGACGTCTTCCGCCGACGAGGGCGAAGAGTCTCCAAACACCGTCAGTGACGGAATATGAGGAAAAGCCCTAGGGCCTAGGGCTCCTGTCCCACCTCCTCAGGAGGGTTTGGTGGTATTCGACCCTGGCACCCACCCCTGTCCCACCTCAGGAGGTGGGCCAGGAGCCCAAACGAATACCGTCCTCAAGGGGGTTCTTGATAGTCCACCAGTGGCGCTGTTTCACCAGGGCCGGAGATGAGGACGTGCTGCCACCGTGGACGCTCGGTACTGGCGTGAACACGAAGAATCCCATGAAAATCCCACCGCCGTACCCTACAAGTCCAGTTTGACCCAGTAAAACCTGGTCTTTGACCTCCTTAAGTAGTGGTTTTGTATGACCATCCGTAAAATGAGGTCAGACTGGCTTAGCGGAGTTCTGCGCGGCTGCCGGAGGGCATCACGATCTCTCTCAAACCTCGGTCAAGAACAGGTGCCGTTGTCCAGTCGTATTGCGGTGGGGGCCGTTGTCCCACTTTCCTGGATTTGCTTATAGGTGATATCCCCAGATGATATCCATCCCCAGCCTGGTGCATATCACATTTTACCCCTTCTCTGGGCTTCCTGGGAGCCGCAAATCCAAGTGAGGCTGAAGAAGGTGGCACTTTGTGAGTCACCGGTGGTCCCTGTGGCCGTGCAACACGCCGACACCCTCGAGCTGCTCATCGTCGCCTTCGCCAACGAGCAGGTACGGGACGCTGATGACGAACCGGGACTCACTGATGGTTGAGCTTAAGTTTATGGACCATATAGAATGTCCTAGGGATACATATGAATTAATTAATATATATATATATATTGTTCATATTATATGTTTTTAATAAATAAGAGCATGTTTGATGCATAAGTCTATGGACCATTGAATATCCGAGAATATCCTAGTGATATGTACTTGTGTTCACCAGGGATCACCAGGGCTTGGTTTCATGTACTGTATATTCGGCCCGATTTGGAGTCTGGAGGAAGTGATTCGGAGGCTGGAGGGATCCAGTTCTCCTTCACCACGTAGTTGGTGAACTATAGTTTGTGATTTCAGTTGTTTTTGATGTTCAACCGCTACCCAGTCATGATGACTCCCAACTGTCACACATAGGGTGGGTGGAAGCCACTAACCTCACCGCATTAGATTGCTTTCTCCTGAATTTGATCACTGCAACTATTAGTCAAATATTGCCGACAGCTCTTGTATGCTGAATTGATCCTGTTAGCTGTATCCTTACCGGTTCCCTCACAGATACAGGGGACCGCGGCGACCAGCTGCTTTGGATGTCCCCCCTTCAGTGAAGATGTGCGTCTCCTGGTGATTCTCATTCTGGGGAAGTCTGGGGAACTATTCTTCCCTGGTTCCTTGTTCGCACTCTCATATCCCACACCATCCAAACGGTTCTGCCTCCACAAATGCCTTCTCCGTGGGAGGCACTGCTGGAAACCTTCCGGAGGAAGGTCTGTGTGCTCTGGAGCACCTCCCGAAACAAGCTTTGGATCAAGGGTGAGACCTCTGGAGAGCTTTGGCAGCCGCATCGCGCATCGCAGGCTGCCCAGGTGAGGTGGTTGATGTGGTTGTGGCTTTCCTGAAGAGGCAAAAAAGAAACGCACATGCGTGGGGTGGTTTGGGGGGTCACTGTAGGCATATATTCCATACATGGAGTGTTTGGGTATTATATTATATATTCCCTACGCCTCCAACCATATCCTCAGGTTCGGTGGTTAGACCCCCAAGACCGCCCACCCCTGAACCATCTTCGAAACGGAGGCGGGCTGTTCGGAGCCCAAACGGGATGATGATGTTTGCTGTTTCACTTCCTGACGAGTTGTTTTCTACATGTTCGCTTCAGAAATGGGAGATTGAACATCCCAATCACTGATGAAGTAAACAAGTGGGGGTGTGAGCGAATGGGGGTGTGCCTGTTGAGTCTAGACGGAGCTGCTAGGTCCAATGCGGACACTACCCTGCCCCAGAGAGGAGGTCAATGGTCAAATGTGCCAACCCGGTGATTCTTGGGTCGAAGGGCAAACGATCAGTCCCAGGGCAGTCCCAGTGGTTCCAGTTCGACTAAAACCAGTTCGACCGGTTACGAAGCCCTGGTTCCTTACCAAGAGAGGTATCCAGTGACCTGAACTAGGGCCTTACTGGGGTACCGAACTGGGATAGTCTATAGGGTTCTTCAACCTCTGTTGGTACTACTAGTGGGAACTGCCTGGGATCCGGGATCCGGTAGGACACTCTGCTCGCCTGACTGGCTTCACTCAGCACCGACTCGACCGGGTTTTGGGCCGTCGGCTTAGGGTCTTTTCGACCACCCATAGGGTCATTGGGTGGTTCATGGACAATCCGAATCACCTCTGGCCAAGAAGCTCCCTAAGGGTCCAGGACTATCCGAATCGGATGTCCTTTGACCCCCCAAGACCATTCTCAGGAAGTACTTTCACCTCCAAGGCCATCCTCAGGAGGTACCTGGACCCTATGGGCCTATGATAGACACCCCATGGCTATGGATAGGGTCCTTCCTGTGTTTCATGTTTTCAGCCCGAGGATGTTCTGGACTTGGTCGAGATCCGTGTGAACTGTGAGCAGAACCTCGTTTGCATCGGGATTCCAACGGCCAGGAGGTGGCTATTGGACCCACTTGAAGCAGGACCCACATTGGACCTTGAAACAGGTAGGACCTTGTGCTGGATGTATCTTCCATGACCTGCGCGATGTCACTGACCCAGCTCGCTCTTCAGTCGCTTCGTCGCTTCGGTGTGTCTAAACCAACCAAGCTTTTCACGCAACAAAAAACCTGGGAAGCACCGAACTTGGAACGGTCTTGCGCTTACGCCCGCAGCCGTTTGGAACGGTTGTTTTTTGCAATATCCATGCGCCAGGAATCCCGTCACGATGGGAGCACCACCTGTGAGTTACACCCAGGAATATTCACATGGAACCTGAAAATGGACCTTTGGAAACTTTGGAAGACTATTTTCCTCTACAAACCAGTGGTTTTCAGGTTCCATGTTAATCTTCCAGAGTGTAATAACCGCTTATTGGACCACCATTGTTTACACTATGACTCACTAACATGGAAGTGGATGGCATGGCCCCTTTTCCTTTACAAACAGGGGGTGACCTCCACTTCCATGTTAGTGAGTCGGAGTGTAACTAATATTAGGATTTTGGCACTACAAAACCAGGTCGAGCATGTTTTAACTAGTCTTTGAAGGCTAGAGAGTTGCTTGTTTCTTTCAAGTGAATTTTCCAGGTTTGCAACCGATTGAGTTCCCTAAGCCTTCAACCTTTCCTTGGACCATGAACACCAGTCCCCAATCAACCAAAAGTCTTTCATTTTGCAGCACCACGGATTCCGGGTGTCCCTTGGACATGGCCGCCTAGGGCCTACAGGTCATTCGGGGCATCCATTCATCATTTGCGGGTCCAGGTTCATGTCCCGTTTGGGCTCCTGTCGCACCCTCTAAGAAGGTGTTTGGGGTGAGGGTCCAGTATACCTTCTGAGGACGTAGCATCTTGGAGCATCTTGGAGCCCTATAGGGAATCCAATCAAAAGCTCGGCACCAAGCCCACAGCGCAGGACGGTTTTCTCACACCCAAACTTTTGTGGTAGAAGCCTCAGCTGTGGTAGATGCGTTTGTCCCAGCCGTCAGGAACTCTTTGCTCTACTTGGTTCGCCCACACCGGACGGGTGCCTGTCACACGAAAGATGCAGAGGGTCACTCTCGGCCCTCCTGCTACTATCGAAGACTGAAGTGGCCGGAGGAGGGCATCCCTGATGGGGACCTGTCCGAGATGCTCAAGAGCCTGGTCCGCAATGCTGTTGGATGCCCTTGATGTTTACAGATATATTTAGGGACCAGGTGGACTTGAACACCAGATAATGCATGGGGCTTCCTCTTGGGATTTCCAAATTCACGTTTTTTAAGATTTGTTTGCCTTTTGGTTGTGCGGTTACACTTGTAGCTTTGGGTGCTTGGTTGGGAGCCACTTACGGAAGGTTTCAGGATGTTTCAGGTATCATCTTCTATACTAGTCTTTTTACTTACTGTATCTTACTGTAATGGATATATAGCCGTCACAGAGTCTATGATATCAGTAACAAAACACATGGTCTATAAAAAATCGGTGTTTCGTCACGACGGCAGAACTCAACGCAACAATTCTCGGCAGGTAAGTAGCCGGGTCAGCCTAGCCGTCACATAGTCTATCATATCGAGTCGATGTGGTTCTGCCCTCGCAAGGAGATCCTCACTGGAACACCTCGCAGCGCCGCACGAACCTCCGGGACCCCACAGCACGAGCGACTGCGTGAGGGGCGAGTGAGCTGCGTGGCGGAGCCCAAAAAGCGGAGCGGCCTGAGGGATCCAACACAAACTGGTCAGAAGGGGTGATTCCCTAGGGATCCAAGTACCTTCTCAGAAGGTGATTGGAGACTGTTTATGTAGGTTTGGAGGGTCCAAGTACCTTCTGAGGACGTACTTGGATCCCTAGGGATTGGAGACACTGTTGGGTGCCAGGACGGTCCAGCATCACCGAACCTGAGGTTCGGTGCGTACGACTGGACACCGAGGCTAGGGCGACACATTCCGTAAACACTCCCTGAAACTGACGCGGTTGAGTGGATGGCATTGCCCCTTGGAAGACCATTTTTTGTACAAATATGTGAACTCCCATGTCATCTCCAGGGAGAGCACCTTGGATTTTGTAAATCTTCCAGCAACCTTGATTGCATTCGATTTGGCAGCGTTGCTTTGCGGCGGAAACATTTGCCTGGGCAACCTCTTCATCGCCTCTTAAATTGACGACTCGTCCCCGGACGTCGAGGTCACGTCTAGTCGACAGTTCGAGGTCTTAAACTGAAGGTCCCGGTTTGGGTAGTGGTGACCGGTGGCTTCCTGAAACTTTGGGTGGACCACTAGATGGGTGTGCATTTCAAGAGGGAGACCCCTACCCAATGGGTAGACGGTAGACTGGTCTATTTATGTCTATTGACCTTCCCAATGGGTCATCGCTCGTGCCTCACTCCACTCGGCTTGTTGGAAGTTCGTGGCTCAGGAGCTTTGCTGCCACTGTGGCTCAAAGTGTTTCGTGCAAGAAACGCTCTCTCTCTCCGCTGCAGGGCATGGTCTGGAGCCTCAAGGGCAGACGGAGCTGCGCAGCACATGAGTCGGCTGACCAGGAGAGACACCCAAAGATTGAACATAACCAATAGTTAGTATCCATCATTATATATGATATCAATATTGTATGATATGTTCGTTGAGTAAACGAGATAACGGTGTTTGTTTTTTGAAGCCAACAGTATGGCGCCCGTATGCGTTGAATGTTGATTACCGTAATAACACCCTCCATTGGGATTGAGTATCTCAGTTGGATCCAGGAATTCTCTAGTTGGTTGTGGCTACATCCCTGAAAGAGTAATGGAGGTGGAAACGATCACATACTATCACCTGTTAGTTAGATCTGTTAGGTCTTCGACAAAGGGGGGTCATCCGAACTCCAAGCCATCGTCACCATCCACGTCACCATGCATGCTTCGAGTTCTAGAATCCATGTTCTCTCCCCGTTTGGCGTCGATCAGACGGAGGATGCACGGACGCGAGACCTTCCTGTCGTCCCCCAGGGCAGTTTGGGGTCCAAGCGAGCTCCGCCTCCCACGATGAGCACCACGGAGGCGCCGCCCGTCCCACGCGTCCGGTCCCGAGCTCCGCCGGAGACGACGGTCGACCAGGGCGCTTCGGCCTGGTCGTTGCAGACCGAAGGGGTTCGGAATCCTCCGAGGTACATCAACCATGAAGCATCCTATGAAGTGCGTGCATGCGTCATTCATGGCTCGAATCATTCCGATCAATTGAGAGATGGTACCAGCATGCACCAACTTAACAAAAAGACTCCAAACAGCACTCGATTCGGATTCAGAGACGAGGATCCGGATATCAGACCATTTTATCGGGAAGGGTTTACCACGACTGATCACGACTGCGACCAATTCTTCACCGAAACGACATGATATATTTTCATGTATTTTCCTGGACCCGGATGTCATGGCACTAACCCCAGTCCCACCGAACCGAAAAAAGGTTCGTACGACTGGAGCCCTATAGGGAAGGTGAAGAAACCATAAACACCCCATCGTTGCTACGATAGGCACAGTTTCAGTGGTACCTTGTACCACGATTGTTTTTTGATTTGTTTTGAGTATGTTGTTTTAGCTTTAGTTGGTCTAGCAGCTGGGTTGGAAAGCTGCGCAGTTTTCAGGAATTTGTCTCAGTATAGCTACATTTGGTGCCTGCTGTGGAGTACTAAGCCTTAAGGAGGGTATGCTACCATCCAAACTGGTCTGATGGGCTCTACGGGTACCAGTCCCTACCCAGCCAGTGGTTAACCTGCAAAACCTTTGGTTGGTTTCTCTTCCCAGACGACGACCACATCATTTGCAATTTGGAACAGAAGACTTCATGTAGACTCTTGACTAAAATTTACACCCTCGTATGAAGAGGAGGTGGTTTTGCGCAAGACGTCTACTCTGCCCAATGGCGAGAAGATAGATTACAAACGCGTGGCTGAGCTGGCTTACTTAGAGTTCGCTTCAGGCAGAATCGAGAGAAAGAGTAATGCAGAGCAGGAGATTCGAAATCGGATCGGTCCTACAGTTCCACTTGTCTACCCAACATGGAAACATGAGGCAAGTGAAGCAAAGTTCGATAAAAAGTTCTTTGAACATGTAAAAAGGTGGCGTTCAGTGTCAAAGGTCGTTGTGGAGTCAAGAGAAATGATATGGAAGACGTTCAGCTTGGCACGCTGATGGGAAGACAAAAGAACGTTGGTCATATGGTTCAAATGCAGATGATATCAGGCTGGAGAGGCTGAATAGAAAAGCTGCATTGGAAGTGAAGAGTTTTGCAACATTTATGGAAAAGTTGGAAAAGCAGTATCAACAGACAGTACGTGTTGACAACTTCTCAGAGATTCCATTTCTAGAGGCTAGTGGGAGTGAGAAGTATGAAAATGCTAAAGGCAGACTGTTGCTTGCTGCAGATCTTGAAAGCTATGAGAGGCAGAGTCTATTGGCAAGTCGTTTTGAACATTGTCTACAAAAGGCTGAAGTGACAGGACATCCGACACAGGAAGCAGAGGCATCACGCCATTTATTGCAGTTTTACACAGGATTTTCGAAAAGGAGAGCAGAAGGTAAGAGCTGTTACTCTGGCAGCTTGGACTGGGCAGACTTTAAATTGCATCTTAAACCAAAGCATCAGGTGATGCTGCTGGAAGCAATAGTTGAACGTGTATTGCTTGACACAGAAGATGAGGAAGCAAGAGAGTTTGTCCGAAAGCTGTTTAAGGTGGAAAAGACAGCTATATTGAACCAACACTTCGCAATTTGACAAACGAGTTTCTTTGCAGTCCAAGGTGAGTTCTCTGGAATTCGCTTGACAGATTGCTTTAACACTATGGCAAATCTTGTCTTTGATGATTGTGAAGGACCTGTGGAAAGATGCAATAAATGTGGGCATCCTGACAGCTCTGATGAAGTGTACGCACATTGGAGATGATTTATCAGTACAACCAGTGTCAGGATTTCCGGCAATGATAGCCTATGGGCTTGCAGCTTTAGGCTGTAAGCTCAACGGCATCAAGTAGTACCTCTCAACAAAGCAAGTTGAATTCTTACGACGGTTGGTGGGCTGTGAAGGAATCCATTCTTTCAAGAATCGTTCTATCGGCAACCTCAACGCCCCTCCTGTACAGCGCGAGGTTGAAGACTTCATCTCACTTCGAGCTTCATAATGTTTGAAAATTGGGGAGGTTCAGCGCAGAGGTGCTAGCTTGCATGGAGTGAGTGCTTTAATTGATGTGATTAGATCGAAAGCTGTAGATGGCTATGAGGGGTCAAAGCAGCAGAACATGAGTTTTGTGAAGGTTCCTGAGAAGATGGCTTTCAGCAGTTGGTATTGCCAACGGCCTTGGATGGTTTGCCGGGTATCTTGATCCGAGGAACATTTACGAGGGCTCATTCAAGAGACTCCAAGAATTGGAAGTCATCTAATGCATTGATTTAGAGCTACACCTAGATTTGCAACAAGTGATTTGGCAAAGCGCATGAGTGAGAGAACGAGGTTTGTGTTGAGCAATGTTGGAGTTGCTGTGGACAGATTGGCAGATGATATGCGCAAGCTCATGATGCAATCATCAATTCCGGCTGGAAACAAACGGAGGCAGCTTGACAAGGAGCGACATTTTCAATCAATTTGCAAAGAGTTGAAGAAGAGAAAGATAGAGAAGGAATTGATCAGAAAAGAAAGAGGAGCGACAAAGAGAAGACATTCATTGTGAACAATCAAAATGTCAAAGGGTGTGTGAGCTTAAAAGAAGCCGGCGTTGTAAGAGAAATGACTTTTTTCTCCTTGGCGGAAGGAGGCTATTGAGAGCGGAAATTGGACTATCCTTGGGATAGTGGAGAAAGACGAAACAAAGATGAGGACATTAGAGAAGAGTGGAGCATCAGAGCTTTACTTGAAACACTTTGACTTCACTGACGAACTGATGCAAAGAATCAATAATGCTTTGCTTGGGGCGCCAGAATCAAGTCCAATTGGGCGTTTCCTGGTTAAGCTGCTGGGAAAGATGATGATGAAGGGGTCAATGATCAATCAATATTCGGTGTCAAGAGCCTTGGGGGCAAGACAAATAGATGGCATATTTGCGATGCTTATGATACAAGAAGTAAGAAGAGGGATCTCAAGAACTGCTGGCTTTAGCAGGGACTTCAGCATGTCCAAGTGATCGAAATGATCGGAAATTTGCAACTTGACAACATGGCCCCACAAAGAAACATCCCTTAGCCCGCGCTCCGCAGAAGTAGTCAGACGAGGGGAAGCTCTAGGCACTGCATCATTACATCGAACACCAAACCGCACCTCTCGAAACGAGCTTCCTGTTTGGCTTCAAGATACGTGCCGAATTTTGCAACGCATAATTTTGGTAGGACATATTGAAGTTCTCTTGATTTCTGCCTACTTCTATGCAGGTAGGACCGCAGATATTAAACCTAAAAGTGATTTGCTTTTAGCAGAGATATATCAACATTGTGCTGCCACCAACCTTCCATTTCTCACCGCTGCCAATTTTACTAATCCTGTTGTGGATTTTTCTGCATTCAGGGCTTTTCGAGCCGTCAGATGCCAAGAAGCTTTTGATTTGGCAAGACTAGAACTTGCTAAGGAACTTCCGCCAACTTGTCGAAATACAACATGAAATGACTCTTTCATCATACATGAGCAACTAGTCCCCTGGGTACAAGATATCTGGGTTGGTCCAGCCCACATCTTTCCGGACCATCGACCATTGTATC